GTGCACTTGTGGAAGTGGACTCCAGACTTTGTGGGGTAGAAACAAGTTGCGGACACATACAGAGCACCACTGAAATTTAATAGCACATACCTAGATGCTCTACAGTGTCCGTGTGTGTGCATAACTATGAAAATGTACATAAAGACAAGAAGGGCAAGAACAAGAAAGACCAATTCTAATGTGGAAGGATGGGTAAAGAGCCTTATCTATGTATAACTATGTATTTAAGGTCTAGAAGAGGCAGGATACACCTTTAATATCAGCACTCGGGAGGCAGAGGCAGGTAGATCTCTGTGAGTTCAAAGCCAGTCTGGGAGTTCTAGATCAACTAGGGCTGCATCATGAGACTCTGTGTGTGTGTGTGTGTGTGTGTGTGTGTGTGTGTGTGTGTGTGTGTGTGCATGATATGTATTTAAGTATTTCTTAGCCAATGAAAAATTATTTTTAAAGAGTGAAAAAATGTCTGTGGACATTATACATCAAGGCGATGGTTCTTAATTTGGGGAGGGGGGCATGAATATCTGAAATTCTGATGAAAGATTTCCCCTAAACATTCTATAAAGGCCTGAAATTGTGTTGTTGTTGCTGCTGTTCAATTTCTGAGAATGTCAAAAGTCCCTGAAGCCCAGCCCTAGCCCCCTCTGACTTCCTGACCCCAGGCCGGGTGCATCTGAGCCCATGGTCCTGGGGATCACACACAGGTCTGCTCTTTCACCCGGGTTCGCCCAGAGGATCAGAACGCCCTAGAGCTATTTTTACGAGCGTCAGCCGCTCTCCTCCCCAGATTGAATTTCCCCAGAAGGTAGATTTTCGCTGACATCTTAATACTTGGAAGGGAGCAGCTGATCCTTGAGGAGTAAGTGGATGTAGCAAATGGCCTGTGGAGCCACAAACAGAAGCTGACCTGTGTGAAGGAAGCTTCCAATGTTCCTCATCTGCTTTTAGACACCATCAGGTCCTTTTAAAAGTTCTGCAGTGTCACTCTCCCACACACAGAGATGCCGTGGTTTCCACCTTGCCATTAACACAGATGGGTTCTTAGTGACTTTGCTTATACATTTTTAAAGAAGCAAGAGACATAAAAGAGCCTACTTCCACTCCTAAAATACCAATCAATATTCCTTGCACTTTTCCAAAACACTTGCAGGATGAAGGTTTGTACTCTTCCCCTTTGGGTCTGATTTAAAGTGTTTTAATGGCAAAGCCAGTCTTCCTGAGAGCAGAGCTCCTCCGTAACACACTTTTTATTAAGTCCCAGCACTGCCAGCAGATTTACAGTCTGTACCAAATCTGATTAAATGCACTGCGCTGTGCCTGCTTGTGCCGTGAGCGCCCTACACACAGGGTCCCCAGGGAAGAGCTGTGCCTTCCCAGTCCCCCATACACATAATTAAAATGCTTTTTAAAAATTTAACTCAGAAAAGAGAAGTCTGGATATTATATAGTATCATCTAAGAATTTCAGAGATTGCTTTTTAGAACAAAATGAATTTTGTTTCTGTACTGGGGTTTGAACCTCAGATCTTTGCATCCTAGACAAGCCCTCTGGCACTGAACTTATACCCCTAGCCTGGATCGTGATGAATTGTGTCAATGGAGATGCAGCTGGCTGAGTTTTTAGTCTTTTGCATCTTTGAGAATACTTTCAGTGGCTGGTGTTGAGATCCAACCCTGAGCTGACCTAGCCGGCCTTTCCAGGCTCATCTCTCGCTGCTCGCCTTTGTAAACTCTTGCTCCTGACCACACTGGTGTCCATTCTCTGGTTCAAACCGTTTTCTGCTTCTACATCTTTGTCCATGCTCTCTGGCCTGACTCGGCATGGTCATCATTTTGGTTCATGTGTGTTCCAATTTTTCACAGATTCTCCCGTAACGCAGTTACTGTTCATGCCCATCACTAGCTCTCAGTTTTTGAACTGCTTTTATAATTTGGAGAAACAAACCCGGAGCCTCATGCCTGATCATGTCCCCGGCCCCCTTTAGTCCCCAGTCAGTGTCTGCAGAATCTTGTCCCTCTCACTCCCGTGAAGGTTGAATTGTACCTTCCCTCCACAAATCTTGGGAACATTTGCTATAATGCAGGCATTCCAAATTCTGAAAAGTAAAAGCAGAATTGTTTTCCCATGGGTTTACACTTGTGTGAGATGGGATGACCAAGTGGACAACTAAAGACAGTATCTCCAAAAAGTGAAGAGACTGAAGCAAAGGGATGTGCTGAGTGACAAGGGAAAAGAGTGCCACTGGGATGTTGATGAAAGTCTCTGATGAGGATGGAACCGAATTGCAATCTATACCGTAGAAGATACCAGTTGAGAAAACATCAGGGGAAAGAACATTCCAGGCAGAAGGAACAGCAAATGCAAGGATCCTGGATAAGAGCTCAGCACGTGGGTGGCCACGGGTTTCCAAGCAAGCAAAAAAATTCCTAAAAGATGTCCCTCTGTCCTGCAGCACCTAACCCATAGTTAGGCGATCAGCTGCTTAGTCAAAAGACCCTCGAGGTGTCTGTCAGCTTCCTGTGACCAGCACAGTGGAGGGCACATATTAATACGGGGAAATGAGTGAATGGGTTCGCATGAGTAACTCCCTGCCCATTCGCCAACCTAAACTCATAACTATACTTGATCTCTACATGGCAATATTTACCAGCACAACCTTGTTATTTTCGCCAATCAACCTGAAGCAGTAAGCATTAAGCTCATCAATAGCTGGGTAGAATTCGTTTACAACTAACTGGAAAGGTCCCTTTAGGCACATGGGGCACATCCAGAAAGGCTATTATCTATTATCTTCCAGTTTGTTGCAGTAATGTGAGTTTCTAGTTGGTTTCTACTTCTTTATTGAAGAATCAACCCTTCCCCCCTTTTCATGTAAAGAGTTGAGTTGGACTCTTGGAAGTCAATGGGTGAGGAAAGTCCCATTGCCTCTCTTTGCATGAAAGTCTTCCCCTGGTAACCTTATGTGCCACCAAACCCAGTGTCCTGACAAACGTTGCTTGAACCACTTTTCATGAAAACAGAATTCACAATTTGGAGCCTTACACTTAAGGCTGAGGGCTTGCCAATAGACCCACTCTGGGTCTGACCTCACTTTGGCTTTTAATTTTGACTTGGGTAGTGTATTTTCTGTTCAGTCACCATTAGCCATGGAGTCTGCAAGTGAAAACTAAAATTATGTTGTTCATCTCAAAATTCTAATTGTACTTTTCAACTGGAGTTCCATCTACACAGCAGGTATTTTGAGCACCCAACATGTGCTTAGAACCGTGATGCTAGTACCTACTGTGAAGGGGAGGAGGACCAGGCAAAAGTGAACAGCTATGCTTCCACAGAAGGCCAATCAAGAGCACCAACATGGAAGGGGCAAGGCTTGAGGCTCTCCCAGAGTGGCACAACCCTAATGGTGGGAGGAAAGGTCACTTTCTCGAGGTCTGAAAAGGCTTCCCTCAGATGGAGACGATTACAATTGTTTGTTTGCTTTTTTAAAGACTGATTTTTATTTATGTGTGTAGGCACACATGTGTGTGCACACCTGTATGCAGGTGGCCCTAGAAGCCAGAAGAGGGTATAGGGTATAGGGTATAGGCTCCCCTGAAGCTAGAGTAACTGTTGGTTGTGAACCACCTGATACGGGTACTGGAAAATGAATTCTGGTCCTCGGCAAGAGCAGCAAGTGCCCTTAACCGCCATTGATCTCGCTTCTGCAATTTATTCCTAAAAGATAGGTCTTTCTGAAAGAATGAAGGGGGAATCATCCCAGCAGGAGGAACACAAAAGCCATGTTTACCGTGTGGTCTAAGAAATCATAGTGGGTCCGGAAAAAAATCAGCTGCCCAGGGTCACCACTGGATAGGGCAAGGGGAGAATGAGCACAGAATGTTCTAGAGAGACAGGGAGAGATGGAGGACAAAGGGCCTTTGACTAACCCAACTTGGGATGCTACAATGATGCAGATGCAGTCCTCAGAAAAGCTCAGTGCCCTCCTGCTCATCCTGCCATCAGCCATAGCCTGAGCTCGGAAGAGCAGCTCGCAGGAGGCAGACATGGGCTTTGACGCATGCCTGGATGGAGGGTTTATCTGAGGCCCCAAACCTAATGTATTTGTGACTTAAACAAGTTGTTTCCCCCTCCAGAGGCTCTTCATTCACAATGCAGAGGGAGGACTAGAGCCTTCTTCCTAAGTCTGAAGGGGGGGGGGCAGGAGAAAGTGTGTGAGAACTCAGCACTGCGTGGCAAATGGGAGTACTCAGAAGATGTGGAATGAGTTTGTAATCATAAGCAATGAAGAATGGTGTCTGTTGAATAGCATGGATAACAATATGCTCTCCTAGATAGGGGTTAACAGAGAAACCCAGGGTCAGGCAGATCAACTGAGGTCGCTTGACCCGATAGAGTTTCTGAGAACATCCCCAGCAGGATCTGTAGCTCCGGCCCCATCTCTCAGCCAGAGTCAGAGTCAAGAAGCCATGCCTGGCAGGCTCACTCTGTCCTCAGATTTCTTACCCCACAGGCATCAAGGAAGGGGAGCCCAGGCCTTGGATTATAAGGACATTCTTGCTTCTCCCTGTGTAAGAGGATAATGCCAAAGGACGCTGGCACCAGGCACAGGAATGTGGCCTGTCCAAGGCTCCTTGTCCCCACACAAGATCACTAGGCGCTTGCTGGTATTAGACCCTGGGGACTGTTTAAGGTCCTTGTTTCTTTCTTCTGGTTGTTATTGTTTAACAACCGTGTTGTACAAGTGCATACAGTACATAATTTTGCCTCTTGGGAGTGTTTGACATGTTTAAAAAAAAAACATTTCAAATGTACTTTTTCAGAGCAGTTTCAGACTCTCAGCAAAACTAACATGCCATCCCTTACCCATCCTGACTCATGCATGTCTGTCCCCAGTGTCAGTGTCAGATGGTAGCGTTTGTCACAGCCAGCCTGCCCCCTAAGCCTCTGCTTTATAGCAGGGTTCACTGTCCGTTGTGTGTGGTCCATGAGAGTTGCCGCTGGCTTTTCCCGCTAATCATTGTCCCCCAGGGAACACAGGCACAGCCTGGGCAAAGATTATGATGCTAATTTGGTTCCAAATAACCGATTTTCTAAAAGAAAAGAAAGAGAGACGTGGAGGAAGGGAAGAGAGAAGAGAGAAAAGACCAGTTATTTGCCCAGGCAAAGCCCACTCTGGTTTCTGAAGCTCTGTGGAAGCTAATTGCAATGCTTGATTAAAATGTCCCATCTCCCTAGATCAGCACATCCCATCCTGCCTCTGGCTCTGGGCTTTGCTCGCCCCAGAGAGGGTAACACTGCCTTTGGATCTTTCTTGTATGGCTTTCCCCCTGCACAACTTCCAGGACCACATGGTGAGCCTTCCCACGCCCTGTAGATTTAGGGGCAAGTTTGATTCTGAAGCAGGAAAAGACTCTCAGGAGAGGACTTTGTCTAGTGCTTGCGATGATTTATTTTATTTTGAGTTCTCTTACAGAGTTCTCGTAAGGAAATACAAGTCCACCCCCAGCTTTGACAGGTGAAGCCCTCTGGAAGGCTGGCTGTGTGGTAGGAGCCAGGATGACACTGAGATGTCCTTCCAAATCAGGACCCGAACAGCTGAGGAGCTCCAGTTACCCAAGAAGTGAGTGACAGGGACACTTCTTCTGCCAGTTGGAGGCAGAGACAGAGTAGGGCAAGGGGGGTAATGTAGGCAAGGACAAGAGGAGAAAGGGCAGATGGGAGGTGGGGGTGCTAAGCTGTGACCATCCAGAAGTCTGGGAGAAGGCAGTAGAATGCCCTGGTCTCTGACTATACCCCTGCTATGCCCTGGGGAACAAGGGTGGTTCCCACTGTGAGTCTCAGGGGATCCTTGGTGATTTACCAACTGAAATGATTGACTCCCCTGGGATCCTCAAGACACACTCACAGAAAGTGACTGTCTGAAGTGAAGACACATGCACATATGCTAGCAAGTAGAGTCTAGCCTAAATCTTTGATGCAGGATTTAAAAGGTACAAAGTCTGTTCAAGCTGAATTAGAAATGCATGCCCACTGAACTGTTCTTATTTTATCTTGGTTTTGTTCCTTCATGCATTTTTCCAAAATGACTGTGGTACTATTAAAAAAAAAGTTATTCTAATCACAAAATTTTAATTGGTTGGAAAATTTGCAAGAACAAGGTTTAAATTTTTTTTTTTTTTTGAGAAAGAGACAGAAGGATAGAGTCAAGGGGCTCACCTTGGCTAACTTGTGGGCTAGGGGCAGAGCTGAACTGAGAGATGGGAGACTGTCGACTCTTTTAATATTGCTTGACATGTCCAATTAATGTAGATGATTACATGTGTCATTACATTTTTAAGTAAATTCAAGAAATAAAGGTTTTTTCAAAGCATCATGTTTTGGAAAAACAAGGATGTTTTATTAAATTAAATATTTTTTAACTCAACATATTTTACTTGTGCAAATATTCTAACTGAACATTGTTTCCTTAACTCTTTAAAAGTTTTGTATTTATTACATGTGTGTGTGTGTGTCATGTGATGTATATTTGTGGCTATGCGTCTAATGTGTATTTGTGGGCTGTGTGTCTAATGTGTGTTTGTGGGCTGTGTGTACGATGTGTATGTGTGGGTATGTATACCACAGGTCATGTGTGGAAGTCAGAGGACCCTTCCACCTCTACATGTGTTCCAAGGTTCGAACCCAGGTCATCAGGCTTGAAAACCAGAGCTTTTACATGATGAGCCATCTCACCAGCCCTTGCTCCCTCAACTCTTTAAAAACTCCTTCCTGCTAAATTTGCATGTCATTTTATGCAACAAAAGCTGAGGTCTGCACCTGTCTCTCCATATAAACAGTGCAAGCCTTTGTGTCACAATGGATATGTATCTCTAATGAATTTATACCCACACATCAGACATTGGAATTAGAACTGTAGTCCCTGAAAACAGCTTTTGCTTTCCTCTATAAAGACATGTTGACAGGAAAGTTTGGTAAACAATGTAATAAGTATCCATGACCTACCAGTCAGATTTAATAAATGTTTTACTTACTTCAAATCTTTAAGATTAATCACAATAATAAATACTACAGTTCTCCCTTGCTTTCCTCCGAGTGGCAGCCGCTTTACCTTCAAGCCGGTGTGAACATTCCTGCCCAGTGCTTTATATCTTTATTCTATGTTTAAATGAAGAAACGCCTGGCCTTGGGTTTTGTCCAGAAGGGCTGTTTTGAAGGATCCCATCCTCTCATTTCACCGAAGGGTTCTCCAATCACTTCCTTTTTCAAATTTAATGTGTGTTGTGCCTAGGTGTGAGGTGTGTGTGTGTGTGTGTGTGTGTGTGTGTGTGTGTGTGTGTGTGTGGTGTGTTTATGTGTGAATCTCAGCAGAAATACCATGGCACAGTATATGTGAAGATCAGAGGTCAGCTCTCAGGAATCTGTTCTCTGCCTCCACCCTGGGCGCTGAGGACGGGACGGAGGTGGTCAGGCCTGTGTGTGAGTGTGTCTGCTCACCAAGCCACCTCATCTGCCCTGCCATTCCTTTCAAATCGCTGCTCCCAAATTTGAAAACCAGGAAGCCTCTTCATCAAAACCCCAATTAAGGATAATTTATCGCTCAAATCTCAAAGACCTTTCTCATCCTGAGGCTGAACTCAGAAGACAAGGGAATACATCTTTACCCCCTCTTGTTTCAGAATATTACATGTCAATTTAGACTGTATTTATAAAGAGAGCAAGATTAATTGTCTTATACAAAAAAGGAAAGTAAGTCTCAGTAAGCGGAGAGATAGATTGAAAATTCTGAGTCCTTAAGACCCCGAAGAGCTAAAGGTGGCATTTAATTTAAACTGTGCCCTCTGGTGTGACTCTGAGCACTCTGTGGTATCATTCTCCTCCACTTCTACATCAATTTCAGTCTTTCATCAGCAGATTCCAGGTGACAGATGGGCAGCCTCATTTTAACAGTCTTTTGGTTAGGCTGAGCTGTGGCCTTTCCAGAAGGGGTGAACTAAATCACCTGGTCCTTGTGTCCACCTGCCTTCCTCACTCCTGAGGTGGGTGCCACCAAGGCCTGACAGACTCTGTCCTAGTTAGGGTTTCTATGGCTGCCATGAAACACCATGACCAAAAAGCAACTTGAGGAGGAAAAGGCTTATTTGGGCTTACAATTCCATATTGTAATTCATCAGCAAAGGAATTCAGGACAGGAATTCAAACAGAGAAGGAACCTGGAGGCAGGAACTGATGCAGAGGTCATGGATGAGTGCTGCTTACTGGTTTGTTCCACAAAGCTTGCTCAACCTGCTTTCTTATAGACCCCAGATGTTTCGGAATATTTGTTTACACCGTAAAGATGTGTCTCTGCCTAAGGTGCCTTTTGATTGATTTAATAAAGAGCTAAATGCTCAATAGCTAGGCAGGAAAGAATAGGCGGTACTTCCAGGCAGAGAAAGAAACTGGGAGGAGAAATCTAGGCATGTGATTTCACCAGCAGACTTGTAGCCAGTTGGATGTGTCATACTAAGAGGAGGTAACCAAGCCATGTGGCAGAATGTAGATTAAAAAGTATTGGTTAATTAAGTTGTAAGAGCTAGCTGGGAAAAAGCCTAAGCTAAAGCCAAGCTTCCATAATTAATAATAAGTCTCTGGTTCATTATTTGTGGGCTGGTGGTTCAAAGATAGCCTGTCAAGAAAGCTTGCTAACCCCAGGACCACCACCCACAATGGGTTGGACCCTCCCCCATCAGTCACTAATTAAGAAAATACCTTACAGTTGGATCTCATGGAGGCATTTTCTCAACGGAGGATCCCTCCTAGTCTGTGTCAAGCTGACGTAAGGTTAGCCAGCACAGACCCCCTGAGGATCAACCCCTGCCCAGTTCCTGTGACCTCTGTAGTTTCTCCCGTCGCCCCTGCAAACGGAGCTCACCAAACATCTACAGCACCTACCCCAGCCCTTCCCAAGAACACTCAGCCCTAGGTGTCTTCAGGTGTGATGCAAGCCTGTCATGTGACTGACAGCTAACGGAAATCGGTCTGCTACTAAATCCGTTACAGTTCAATTTGAACTTCGAGGGTTTTACTGCTGGGGACACAGCTTAAATGGTATTGTGGAGAGTCATTTTTAAAGACATGTTAAGGATGTAGAGCGGTGCATGTAAGGAAATATTATGAAGATTACATGTGAAAGAAGAGATTTAGGAGACAGTGGTTGCCCAAAGCAAAGCCTAGCTTGGCTTAGACTGCTAGAAGTCACTGGATGATGTGAACGTTAACTCTAGCTTTGTCCTTTTGATTCTGTGGGTCTTACTTTACCTTCCTAGAAAGTAGAACTGTTGAGCTAGGTTAGGCATTGTGAGCCCTGCCTTTGAATTACCTGGGCAGATTTGCAAAATACTGATGCGTGGGGTTGGTCTTCTTCTTTCAACCAGCTCAGTGAACAGCCCTAGGGGATGGTCCATGCTCCAGGTTTTAGCACACTTCCAAAATTCCTTCAATGACTGTAATGTTCAGGCAGGACTAAAAGCCACTGGTCCAGATGGAATCTGAGGTTTCTCACAGGAAGAGGATTGACTGACCTGTTCATGTAGACTATAAACGAGACAGTGGAGGGGGTGGCCCTTTCAGGTGTAGCCAGAAGAAGATTGGCATTTACCTGCTGATCAGGTCTGCCTCATCACTGGTCTGGAAGCTTCCTGGGAATAGAGGCTATGTTTTGCCAGATCCCCCCATGCCATTTGCTATTGAGGAAGTACTCAGTGACAGGGTTCCACATTGCTATTTTAGAATGTGTTTTATCAGGGCACATAGGATTAATCAAGTGATCAAAATTTCATCGATGGTCACCCAATTCACAAGCAATTGATTTTTGTTACCAGAACTGGTTATTCACCTATAAAGGGAGCTTTTCTGGGTTCAAAAAGCATTCTTTTCTTGGCAGATGAGGTCATAATGTCACTGGGCTCATTCACCGGCACAGACCCAAGGCAGCCAAGCTGAAGTAAAGAAAAGCAGCTTATCTGGGTTCACAGTTTAAAGGTTTTAGTCCAGGAATGGGGAGACCCATTGCTTTCAGGCCTCTGATAGGGGTGGGGGACAACACATCTTGGCACGAGCTCATGGCACAACAAAACAGCTCACCATGTGGTTGGGATGTAAAAAAAAAAAAAAAAAAAAAAAAAAGTAAGTGGAAGAGAAGGGGGCTGGCATACCCCCATGACTGGAAATCTTCCTACTGGGTCCCACCTTTTCAAGATTGTCCTACCTCCCAGTGGCTATTGTGCTGGACAGCAAGCCTTTATTACACCAGCCTTGGGGCCCATTCCAGATTGTATCCCCGAGGGAGCACAGAGCATTAGTTTGATAGTCTCGGTGGCCATCTTTATCAAAATCTGATGTTCTGTTGGCCATTTCCACATCAGGGGCCCAGGTCATTCGACAGAACATGTTGAACCTCCGGAGATACACTGATGTGGTTCATTTCCCAGCTGCTCTTTCCCAATAGCCACTCAAGCGACCACCATACCCCCGTGTTTACTCTCCCCGTTACCACAACACGCAGTCTCCCAAGTGTCAGATACTTTGCTGCTTGCTAACGGCACAAGGGGAGAAGCACATTAATCTCCTGAGTAAGGTCACCCCAGATCACTCTCCAAGACGGCCTCTTCTGGAAAGCTGCCCTGTGCACAGCTAATCCCTTCCTTCTTGCAGGCTTGCTGACGGAGATGACACCTGCTGACCTTGCGTGTTTGAGAGCCACCTATTTTGAGGGCGCTGGTGCTCTGCTCACCACCTACAATTACCACGACTAAAAATACTGGGGAGTGAGAGGAGTCTTCGAGGGGACTTGGCGCCTGGACGGTCCTCCTCCTATTTCTGTGCCCCATGTTTCAAGACTGTTGCAGAGCAGCCCATCGCCAGGAAGACTGAGCCCTTCACAGTTGATGGGAGCCTTGTGGTTATGTCTCCTTCCCCCGGAAAGGTATCCAATAGTGGCTTTCCAGTTAGTTCCATCACTACTTAGCCACCATGTGCAGAAACAGCATCTTCCTAGACATCAGCCAGCATGCATCTTTCCCATGGTAATGCAGGCTTCCATCTCCCACAGCTAACGTGATCCTTCCACCTCCAGCAGTGTGACTGAAGAGCTACTGTGCAAACCTCGGCTGAGAAAACTTTGGGCCATTTGTGAAGAGAAATAGACTAGATTGAGGCAACCACTTTTCACAGGATCTCACTCCTATGTGGAATCTATTGGGATCTACAAGAAGTAGAAGGTGTCACTGGGTGGTGGTGGCACATGCCTTTAATCCCAGCACTTGTGGGGGCAGAGGCAGGTGGATCTCTGTGAGTTCGAGGCCAGCCTGGTCTGTAGATCGAGTTACAAGACAGCAGAGGCTACACAGAGAAATGCTGTCTTAGAAAACAACAACAACAACAACAACAACAACAACAAAACCTGGACCCAGTGGTTAAGTCAGGGAGTGAGGTTGACGAACTGGGGTATAAAAGAGACTATTTTCGTTTTCAAGCCTTTGGTGCTGTTTTAGATGGTTTCTGCATGATCACATGACCTTCTGAGTCCCTTCTCTAAAAGCCATTGAGTCTGCTGAATTGGGGGTGTGTCTTATTTTTCTCTATAATCCCTTTGCTTTTCGTTCACTCCTATTGGTGGCTTAGAAACACTCCCTTTACGGCATTGCCTCAGGATAAAATTTCCCACACTGAACTCTCCAGGCAAATGAATATAATCCTTGGGTGTTGTGGGGTCATTTCTAGTGGAGTATTTGTAAATTGTATCACACACTTTCCTGCCTTCTCTCTACACATTTACTATGGTGAATTTCACATACCTTAATGTGCACCTATTAAAAGTTCGGTAACGGCATATTCACAGAAATGTGCAGTCGACAATTGCTGTTTAATTTTAGAACATTTCGACACCCTCAAACAAATCAGCCCCTGTTAAGCAGCAATTTCCATTCTCTCCTCCCCTCCCCTTCTGGCACCCACTCATCAAACTTTGGTTTGTGTAGATTTGCCTGGTCTGGATAGTTGGCATGGGTAGGATCATATACTGTGTGGTCTTTTGTTCCTAAACAGTGCAATCAATAGTACTTACCTGTCTTGGCTACCTTAGCTCCTTGGTATTGATAGGCAGTTAGTTCTGTTCACTGTAACCTCAAGAACTATTTAGACAGGGCACTGTCTGCTTCCAGATCTCATTGTCAGGGATCTGTTGCTAGGCCATCAAGCGACCTCTTGATATGATCCTGTGATCCTAAATTCTTGTTTTAACCATAATTTCCTCCCCTGCTCTCCCACCTCTCTCTCTCTCTCTCTCTCTCTCTCTCTCTCTCTCTCTCTCTCTCTCTCTCTCTCCCCCCCCTTCTTTCTTTATTTTTCATGCTTGTCCTGTTAGGGTGTAAACTAGATCAAGCCTGAGGCTCACAGTGTAATTCCACCATGGATTTCTTGGGTGTTTTTTTCTTCTAGGGTTATCAAACAGACCGAGGTACCCTCTTCTTCTCCTGCTGTCTTGAGTATCTTATGTCATTCACTCATCTCAATTCCATCTTAGCAATGCATCCCCTACAAGGATGTAGTAATCTCTCTGATTTAATCGGCATCAAATCCTTTGATTCCTCATATCCTTCCTCTGCCATTTCTTAAAATAGTCTGTAGCACTCAAGTCAAGGATACTTATTGACCTCCCTGTCTCCAACGCTGCATAATCCTGCAAGAACACTTTCCCCTATTCTCCTTAAGGGGCACATATAATCAAAATGCTCTTAAATAAGAACCTGTAGGTAGGGTGGTTCAGGCAGCCCTGAAGTCAATGGGGCACATTGTTGCCAAGTCCAGGATCATCTGAGTGCCTGCTAGGGAGAGGGGAAGTTTGATATCTTGACAGTCTTGGAAAGTAAGTCCCTGTAATTGCTTTACTTATCTCTTGGGATGGGTTGAAGACAGAAGAGTTGGATTGGGGGCATCACCACAGTTCTGGGTTCTTGTCACAGTACTTACAAGAAGCTTTGAAGATTGAGTCAGCTTGGCAGGGAGGGGGGTTTCCGTGAAGGGAACATGAATTGTGCGATGGGGATTTGAGATTTGGGAAATGTTCTCCAGAGAGGCATGGGGTTGTGCTCACCCTTGCTAAACGCTTGGGTCATTCTGAATCTCTAGAGGTCATAGTAGTTCAGTCTCTGTCAGAGAAACCAAGCCTTTCATAGGGCCTGCCTTGGGCTAGCAAAAGGATGGTGTGTAGAACAGTGCACAGGAGGCGCCTGTGAACATCTCCCAAGTGACAAAATCTCCCAAATCGAACGTGAGCTGTTTGGTGGAGACGTGGAGGAGGGTTCTCAGGCCAGACTCTGCAGAAGCGCTGTACTTTATGACCCAACTGCCATGCTTGCAGGTAAGAAGAGAACACAGTTACATGGAAGACGAGTCATGGGACGTGAGAGCAGAGCTCACTTTGAAGATGTCACATTGATCCCAAGTGGTAGATGGGAACCAGAAAAGCAGTTAACAGAAAAGCATTCAGACTCAGACCTGGGCAAACTAGCGGACAAGATACTTCAGGCTTAAGAAAACCCAGGTGGTTAAATCTAAGGTCCTCAGCCACTGAGCTCGGGCCAGGAGCTCATCTATTCATTTGTGGCCCTACACTGCCCCCTGCTGCTGGCACTATCCAAAAATGCAACTTGGTTTTAAAGGCTGGCATCGGCACCTCTGACCACCATTTTTTAGCTGTTGTCCTTAGTATTTGGCTTTCAGGACCAATTTGACTCACGTGTGTGAAGCAAGTCATGTGTGGTGAAAGTAACAATGAACAGAAGTCCGCATATTTCATGCCTCTGTCTGGTCCAGTCACCAGACCAGACAGTTCAGTTAGCCCCTGGAAACTGCTGTTTGTATCAGACAATATTGTGGGGGGGCTTTTATCAGCACCGTAGCGTTGATCCTTTAGGGTGGGTGATGTAGTTATTCATGTTACAGATGAAGAAAGAGAGGACCATGGAAAATGGCTCACTCTTAATAAATGGATATTACCTTCAGTTCCCAGTGCCACCAAGCTGTTAAGATGTAACTTCATACCCCGCTCCCACCCTGAGCGGAATGGACAGAGAGAAATACGGTTTTAAAGTATGTGCTTAAATAAACAAATATTATTCTACACGTCTTTTTGAAATCTGAGACTAAATTCTAGCTGTGCTGTTACCCAGGCATGCAGAGAAGACGACAGCAGGATGGATGGAGTGGGACACAGGCGTGGAAACTTGCTAATCTTGAAAAGACACAGTTTCTGGGGATGAAGCAGCCGTGGGGCGGGCCTGGAAGAGCCAGGAAGTCAGTTTTGTGCGGAGTGTACATTTGAGCTCTTGTAGCCTGGTGAATACAGCGGGCCTACGGAGGTGGAACATTTGAGAAGAGGCTGGGTCTGAGGTTCCCTGTAGGATTATACAAGAGAATTAGTTGGTGGTGGATAGAACTCCAGCCTCCAAAGCCCCAACGCGACAGTGCCAACCTGCTCTCCTTCCCTGCAGCTGAAGGCAGTACCCGCTCTGGCCTGTAGGTGGCAGCTTAGGCTCAGTGGAACCTAAGCCCGGTGCTGGTACCCACCAGCTGGAAATTGTTTTCAGGTGGAGGTTTGGGAGTGTTATAAACTGCTAACATACGGGGACTGCTCCTTGGGGACTCTGACTTAGTTGATCTTGTGTGTGTGGCCTGAGCAATCTGTTGTTATTGTTGTGTGTGTGTTTGCTTGCTTGCTTTCGGAAGCAGGCACTTGTTATGTCGCTTCTGCTGGTCTCTAAATCCCGGGGTCAAGCAATCCTCCTGCCTCAGCCTCCCAGGTAGCTGGGCGTAAGAGTGGATGCCATGGTGCCTGACCATGAACACCAGTGTTTCAGAAAGCTCCCCAGCTGGCTCTCCACCGAGACTGGGGGTGACAGTTTGCACACTGGGCCCTTTGGTTCCTGTCAGGGCTTTGGCGGCGGGCAGCCTGTTTGATATCCTTTCTCCTCCACCTCTGCAGTGGCGCCTGGATCCACAGAAAGGAGGATCCTGAGCAGAGGAGTCCTACGGAGGATGGAGAATACACTTCAGACAGGAGAGAGAGCGGGAGAGGTTCTTCTCAGACACAGAGAGGAAGGAGACCTAAGGGAGCCCGTGCAGTAGTGAAAGGCATGTCACTCCCTGAAGAAAAGAATGAAGCCGTGTGGAGACCAAAGGAGTGTTCCAGAAAGCAAGAAAACCTGTCTCTTCCACTAACCAGAGCTTTAACATGGATCCTGGTGGGGGCACTGTGGGTTTCAGGGCTTTGGGGGAACCTGGCCCGGCAGGGAGGGGCTGGGGACAGCAGGGGCGGCTTCCCAGGGAGAATGGAGTCTTCCTAGGTGGACACATCTCCTGAGAGACATTAGATACCGCCAGGGGTCGACTCTTCCCAATGACTCCGTGCACCAGAATGGTGGCTGCCCTGAAATCCTCTCTGACCCAGGGCCCTCACAAAGAGAAAAGGGCCACGTACAACAGCCAGGGCATCTGTTGCCATAGCAACTCAAGACATCAGGTACAGGCCCATTGTCATGGCTCCAAGCTTTCTCCTTGGGTATAGCTCCAGGGGAGTTAAAAAAAAATTAAACTTGATACTCAAAACTGATGAATGAAATTTAAAATTAAGACAGGATCCCTATCGCCAGCTTTTCCTTTTACCTCAACTATAGCATCCAACAACACCGCCCTGGCGTTTTCTAATAAATGCAGGCTGAGGTGGTGGGGAGCCTTCCACTGTCCGCCCACATCTAGCAGGAGCCACCTACACCCATAGCTCCTGAGGAATGTTATCACTTCTTCTGAGGCCCCCACGGGAACTGTGCTCCTGGCGGAGCAGTGGTGCCACCTAGTGGGAGAATCTGGCACCAAGCAGAGAAAAGAGCCTGCCAAGCCCAGGGGATGTTCAGGAGCCTCTGGCTGGGTATGGGAGGCAATGCTTAGGAACTCACATGGTGGTAGTTGAGATGGGGAGGGTGGAAGACTGAGTGGACAGACAGCTCAGAAGGTAAAGGAGTAGGTAGGCAGGGTGTCTCCGAGGTAGAAAAGTCTTGTGACGCAGTCTTAGCCTCTGCCACACACACAGGTAGGGTGACTCTGAGGCAGGCTCTTGCCCCCTACCTTCCCATCAGTGAAGTAAGAGAGATCATGGAGACTGTGTCTCTAACATCCATAATCTTCATTTCACCTAGATAGGACAAATTTGAGAAAATCAAGTCCCGAGAGTCTTTGAAAACACGGGGTATCTGGGTGGGCACTGGAAATGCAGGGATCGGTAAGACAGAAGGTAGGGTACTACTCGAAGTGATAGGGGCAACTTAAAAGGTGCCCTAGAAGCTGGGCCTGGTGTCACAGGCCTGTAATTCCAGCTACTGAGGTGGCTGAGGCAGGAGGATGGAAGAGTCAAGGCCTGGTTCTAGAGTGAGTTCGAGGCTAGCCTGGGCAAACTGTCACAATATAAAAGGTAAAACAGACGGAAGGGATGGAGCTACCTGTAAAGCACCTGTCTAGCACGTGTGAGGCCCCGGGTTTGATCCTCGTGAGTGAAGCCAGGGGCTGCTGCTAGAAACATGTTGGAACATCCACTGGTGGCTGGGCAGGTGTGAGGAGACAGCCTGGGCAGTGTTAGAATAACAGCAAATGGAAAGTAACTAATTTGCTAGTGGGGAAGCGCAGACTTCAGCCACAGGTGGGACCCAGGTTGAGCGTCATTCTGAGAGTACTTGACCAGCAGTAAAAGAGGCCACTGAGTGTTTTGGTGGAACTGTGGCAGGTCATACAGGTTTCATACAGGCCCGAGGAGGCCTCTGTTGATCTACACGGACTCAGCTGTGACATTATTTGCCTTGGACACCGTACCTAGTTCCCAATTTGCTATGGCTCAATTTATTCTAGTGGGAAAACAAAAGGCATTAAGTAGAAATCACACTTGGACTTTGAGATTTCGATCCTTTCCTGGGCTGACAACATGACCAGTGATCCTTTCCATGCCTAGTGGCAGCAGCAAGCCGTAGCTCCCAGTGGGCCACATAGCGGTGAGGGAAATGACTGGCCCTGTGGTGTTCGAGGCAATCGAGCTGGGATATTTGCTAGATTGGGTTATTAAACACATGATCAGCTTCTGCGTTTTCAATTTACAATGGGCATGAACTGTGTGCTCCTAAACCAAACTGCTGGTGAGCGGTGTGCATCTCCGAGCATGGGATTTTTGTTTTTAATATTTTATTTATTTTGTTTTTTGAGACATGATTTCTTTGTGTAGGTCTGGCTGTCCTGGGACTTGCTCTGTAGACCACGCTGGCCTCAAACTCACAGAGATTTTTCCCTGCCTCTGCCTCCCCAAGTGCTGAGATTAAAGGTGTGTACCACCACCATTTGGCTTTTATTTATTTGTTGACAATTTTATACATGTTTATGATGTATGGTATTTACCAAACCTGAGGAAGAAGGATGGAGAAGTCAAGGCCGGGCCAGCAACAGTGAGTTCAAGGCCAACCTTGGCAACTCAGTGAGACTTTGTTGCAAAATGATTAAAACAGAGGCTGGGGGTGTAGCTTGTCTCCTTCCCACCTTAGTGTGCTCTCCTTGTCTTTCTTTCTTTCTGTTTGTAACAGTTAGTGCTGCCTGGTGGAATACTGATGACCCTGTTGGTCTGAGTAGCTACAGCTGCAGTGAATTCATGAGTTACAACAGCCCCGCCGTGTTCAGAAGCCAACATTTCACAACCCTCCTCTCCATCCTCTAGCTCTTCCATTCACACGCCCTCTTCCATGCTGTCCCCTGAGACTCAGGGCACTGGGGTTACTACAGATGCCCCCATTTAGAGATGAGCACACCACAGCCATTCATTCTCAGCACTTCGGTCAGTCACGAGTCTCTGCATTAACCGCGACCCATCCCAGCGGAAGTTTCTCTGGCCAAGGCGAGAATAACACTAATACACATATTTAGAAAGCAGTTTGACACCACGTCCAATCAGCAAAACACCGGCAGTAGGTTTCGCCCTAGAGCCTATAACTTCCTGAGCTATGGGCATTGACCTGGTGTACATACAGTGCCAGGCCTCAAATCCAATCAGAAACTGGCTGGTTAGCCCCATAACCTCCATGCCACTTGCACCGATGGGCACACGCCTCTTGCCCAGAAGATCAGTATTACGGTATTCAAGGTTCAATGCTGGGCAATACTACTAATAACTTTTCTCCCCCAAGGGCCTACATAGCATCTTCTGGACTATAGAAGCTATGTAGCAGAGAGGGTGTTTTCAGGTCAGGTCCAGCTCGAGTTCTCTGTGTCCCACAACCAGAGTTTATTGTGTCTTCAGCAACAGGGCCTTATCATACAGTCATGGTGGAAACCAAGAGCTTGTGTTGTTTGGGGGATGTCTCTGGCCTTCCTGACCAATAACGCCTAAAGAAGTATGCCACACTTAGCACAGATTTTAATTTAATAATCCATATTTTCTTGGGAAAGCAGGGTGTTTGTGTTCAAACTTCTTTTGATTGATTGGTTGATTGACTGATTTTTTTGCCACAAAGTAGAGTATTTCCATAAGGGTTTTACATACACCCTTAGTTAGTTTTTGTTTTGTTTTTAAGTTTTTATTTCATGTGCAATGGTGTTCACCTGCATGTATGTCTGTGTGAGGGTATCAGATCCCTCCAGAAGTGGGGTTACAGACAGTTGTGAGCTACCATGTGGGTCCTGGTAATTGAACCTGGGTCCTCTGGAAGAGCAGCCAGTGTTCTTAACCGCAGAGCCATCTCTCCATCCCACCCTTAAGTTTTTTATTACCCACACGCATTCCCTCTGTCTCCCAAGTCCATCCTTACTTGAACCTTTCATCCCTGGTATTCCCCTTTCCTACTTTCATATTACAAGAAATCATCGGCTCCTCATTTCACCAGCCTTTAAAACCCAAAGGGTGAGTTCAAGGAAGTCAAGAAACGCAGTAAGAAGCTTGTCAAAATTGCTCTTTTCATGTAGAGTAATGATTCATATTCACACTGTCATTTTAATCTCTAGAGCTAGCTTGGGACGGCTTAAGCCACAGAGCCACTATTAATATTTTCTTACAGAGATGTCAAGAGCCACAAAAAACCCTGTGTGCATTTCTTATCTATGTTTCAGACAATGGAGCAAAGGCAATAGATTACTCAGGATTACGAGCCAAGACAGAACCTGAAGGGAGGAAGGGAGGACATTAACGCCATGCTCAGCACCAAGCACTCAGGCCTGGGTCAGGGTTTGGAGTCTCAGCTCTGCTGACAGGCTGGAAGAGACCTGCAGGAGTGGAGGGCTCCTGTTGAGAGCACCTATTCCAGTTCCCGGGTGGGCTGGCACTGCCCTCTGACCCCTCCCTAAGATGAGCACAACGGAGGAGGTACGTGGCTGGAAAACACCCTAACAAAGGCTCCCTCGGATCACAAAGATGAAGTCACAGCCAATGTGCTGATTTTCCCTGAAAGAGTAGTCTCTACTCTGTAGTGTCTTGGAGACACGGGGCTGTGGGCTTTTGCTCCTGCTGACCAATGATAACAGCGTCAGATCCAATCAGTGTGAACTTATGGACCACATATCGCATGGAAGATCCTGTTAGTTCGGGGATGTTAAACCTGGGGCTGCATGACCAGGCGGCGAAGCTCACCTCTGCTCCCTGTCTATGCTCCTACTTGACTCTCTCCTGTGGGCTTCTGGGCACGGACTGTGATTGACATGTACTTCGCTCCTCATCAGCTCAGAGGAGGGTGAGCATGTGCGAGTCCCAGAAGCCACAGTCCCAGAAACCTGTGCGATGAGCCCTGGATCCCCAAGGCTGGTGGGCCCTAGGAAAACAGAAAAGGGAGACCTGTATCTGTCCAGCTGAGAATGAGTCTTTGGAAGACTGAATTGTGCCACCAGGAATGTGCCAGGATATCTTAGGTCTTCACACCTGTTGCACCGGGACAGAGATCTCAGGCCCAGAATAGGTGCAGCTGCTGTACATGCTCATCTCACCCAGGGCAGAGGCTGGCCCATGTTTGGAAATGTATGTCTCTCCTCCCATCCACCTGCCCTCCCCTCTCTGAGAGTTTAAGACATGGGTTCCTCTTTCTCTTCTTCTTTCTCACTTTCCAAGGGATTTCTGCTCCTATTTCCCAGTTCCGGGTGACAGCAGGTCCTTGGTAAATGACGAGATGTGTGAAAACACAGACCTGAAACATTTAGTAGCAACACTGACTGGGATGGCCCCATCTGGGGTTCTCAAGGGTCAGCACCTCACACACACACACACCCGGGGGGGGGGGGGCTCCT